TAGAAATTATTAGCAAGGCAAATTCCGTGTTGTGGAGCGGAACGGCAGATAAATTATTTTGTCCGTATACTAGATACCTAAATTCACTTCGTCGCGATGAAATCTCATAAACCAATGTATCATAAAAATGTGTTTTATCCTCCTAAGTAGCCATTGTTTTGTTTATTTTGCTATAAAAGTGTTTTACAACTTTGTTGTCGACGGTAATGACAAGAGAATTTACACCCGCGTGGTTTCTAGCTCATATGTAAACTCCTCAAATTATTCCTAAAACAAAGGGATTCTATCCTTTTACAGAGTACATAATTAAAATGCCCTATTATTAACGAACCTGTCAAATACCGTAAGTAAAAATGAATTAAAATGTTGAAACCATTTCGTATTCCATTCTGTAATTTTATAAGTTTCCCTTAAATGGTGGCATTACCTTGCGTCATTAATGCAATGAATGACCCTTCTCTGACGGAAAACCATCCCAACGCGAGTTAGTGTCTGTCATTTGTTCATTTTCATCGGAGATAAAATGCATATATAAGACACAACAAAGCTAATGTTTAATTCAACCCTAAACTTTCCCACGACTAGCAAGATTGACGACTGCCATGAAGTAATTTTCATTTCTTATAACGAAATCAAACCAAGGAAACACAAAACTTTACATACAAATATGACATACTAGCGGTGTCAGAGAGAAATACATGTAAGCTCCACAGTTACATTGTATTGTTTAAAAGTCGGTTGAATTTATTCGTTTTCAAACATTTGTGGTTTTGGCTTCCAGGTAACGAGTGGTGTCAACTGCACGACAACGGAGATCAAGTCTTACAAATCCTCATTTTGAATGAACTAATTAATTTTGTTTAGAGAAATATCTCTGAAATTTGTTTCGTTTGTTACTGCAACGTGGTAGCATACTACTCTTCAACAATAAGAACATTGGTGAGATGTCCTGTTTAACGTGCGCAAGGATATACTACTTATTTCTGCTTTGCTTCAACATTTTAATCAAACGATTCCAGAAATGCCTTAGGGCAGTGACGTCAATTGCCAACAAGGAACATACATCGGTAACGAAGCTTAGTAAACGCGATACATTTTATTTACGCATTTGATCAGAGCTGAAGAGATAAGTATGTTATTGTTTATGATTAAATGTGTTAAATATATGGATAAAACTGTGCCAAAGAATTAGTGGCATATTGCGGTAGTAGGCGGACTAAGTTTATTCAAAAAACGTACGATTTAAATGGGAGAGATTACGTGAAAATTAAGACACAATGAGAAAGTAGAGTTACTACTCTCTGCTTTAACCCATTGAAATACTACTTAATTTTGAATATATAAAAGTAAATTGCGTTTAGAAAGCTGTAGAATTACCACAAATCTTTTCTGAGATTACACCACGTCTATTTTTAGGATACTTTAAGTATTTAGTTGGATCTTCATCTGGTGAATTCTGGAAGACGTAGAAAGTGACTTTCGCCATCAGACTACGTCCGAGCACATGGACTGTAATTCCCCAATTTACCTACGAAACTTCACTCGCAATTACGACACATAATCAATGTTAACTTAATATACTACGGCCGTTAGGCACGGCAATGGGAGAGTAATTTCAAGAATTTAAATTCTAATCGAAATTACAGTTTTCGATTGGTCTGGCCAGCTTTAATAAAACATTTATACAATCTCAATGGAAGAGTGGTGCTAACACAATTACACAGACGAAATCTGAATGGATTATCAATCTCCGACATGCACAACTGCTTTTGACGGTCGCCGAAAGAATAAATAACGTTCTCAAGGGAAAAGTAATATTGCAATGTCAAAAGAATAAACATATTTCAAGTCTATAAATATTATAAAAATATTACTCTATACATACAAGACAGCGAAATTAGAAATTTGAAACACGTCAGAAGACTCAAAGTAAAATCGACAATTTAAATTTAATTTGTTAAATAAAATGGCGCACAAGGAACATTTCATGCTAAAGAATGGATACCGTCAAACCACTCGTAGTAAGCAGATTTTATCTACAAGCCTCGAAATGACAAACGACGAACTATACGACACCGTAACTAAACACTCAGGATTACGATGATGGACTTTTATAACGTCCAAGGATTAAACAACTCATTCCCCGTCATCGAGACCGAGAATAACGTCCATTAGAGGAGGAAAATTAATAAATGATGACAAAATAATGCATGGAAGTAGAGTGAACCGAAACAAATCCCAAACTGCCTCATACACAGACACTATTTTACGACGCATTTCATCCTAATGATAATGGCAAATATTACTAAACTCTCTTGCCGTTATTAATTCGTTGACCACAAACTCCAGACAACTCTGACGTCACTGTGGCCATTTGCAAAGGTAAAATACCAAATTGTGGAGAATAGTGGTCATTAAATGTACCTCATTTAAATGAAACATGAAATGTTGCATAAGTTGTATAATTCTTATATGACAGATTTAATCAGAATCGACTTATCCGTTCTGGCGTAAGGAAATACGAACATAACGATTTTAAAATACGCTCTGCAAGATTACGAACGCGTCTAAAAAAATAGGATGCGAATGTTTCGAAATTCAAAGGAAGAGACGGAGTAAACCACATTTCTTGCTTAATTCAACTGTATTCTCGAAAATCAGTAGACTACTCTTTACGGGAATTCGATTACTAACGGTACGGGGTAGAGGACACGTCTGGAAAACGCATTACTAATCTCAGTTCGTAGCATTTCAGTTCAGGAGGGATATAACTCTCGCACTTGAGACGCAGAGCTCACACGCGTGACACGAAAATCTCGCAGTCATGATCTGGTGTCTTCACATTGTCTCAGGAGACACGCATACGTTACTCTGGATTTCTTAGAACCCGCAAACCTAAATCCACATTCAGCTATTTGAACAGAAAGGAATTGATTAGGGACATGCAGAGATTTAAATTCTTGGAACTGTACGCCACAGCCAACCCAAAACTAAAGAGACTAATAAAAGAAATCTTAAAAAAGATCCTTTTAAAATATGGCGGGTTACATACACTGACTCGTAGCTCCTTGAAGTAAATTCATTTTAAATTAAAGATTACCTTCGTATATAATTAACGTAGAGTACAAAATTTTTCAAATATTTTGGATATCCTGTCTATGATACAAGAAAGTATATCTACGTGGTTAACATGTTTCATCGCATTTTATGTACTATCAAAGCGTTCTTACCAATTTCCGGAGTTCGCTAAATCTTGGAAATTACTTCGCAAAAATCCTTCGTTCCGCAGATGTTTGATCTCTATGTGGGAAGTGATATCCCGGGGCAAAATCCTAAGTTTAAGGGATTAGTGCAGTGATAGGATCCTCAAGGAAACTCGAAACCGTCACTCCAGGATTCACGAGCCAATGAAATCAGCAGTTCTGTATAAACACAGCTGGTGATGCCCCTAATACGTTTCATCAAAATTTGAGTCTCCTATGAATTATCTTGTAGGCAATGGACAAGTCCATAGACCCTATAGATAGTAAAGTGAACAGAAACCATGCGATTTAATAACCTATTAAGACATCACTAAGTAAATCTTCGGAATGTAATTAGAATAATAATTTAAATTAACGACTGCGTCCTGGAACAAAGTCCACAAGAAAACTCTCGTAAAGCTAGAACACGCCTAAAACATTGTCGGCAGTGTTGGCAAACAGTTTACAAACAAATGTCGTCCGTTATCTGCAAACATTCCGCAAACAAATATTCGCTGTTCCTTGTTTACCGTTTGAAAACATTTGCAAGTGTGTATTTGTTTCTAAATGTATCGAAAGTTAACTGCAAAATTTCTGAATAATACGTTTGAGGCTGTTTGGATATATTTAAGGGAGCGGTGTTTCTTTTAATTTAAATAAAAATTATCTAGTGGCAGACAGCTGTAGCTACATCTCGCTTACATTGGCAATTTATTAACAAAAGTGCAAAATATTTTTTTTATAATAAGCAAGTATTGGTATCATAGTTGGTTGATTATTTGCTGTTAAGAGATTTTGAGCTTTATCGAATGATATTTATAAATAATTTGTTATAACTGTTGCCATGACAATGCTGTTCAGCGATTATATATCTTACGTCTTTTATATTTACGAGTATTTTAATCAGTGAAACATTTGCTGTTAAGGGATTTAGATCTTTATGGGATAATATTTATAACTATGTCTGTTTATTACTTCAGAACCTCCAGGAATTTTTGATAGGTAATTTACTAGTTATTATGAGATTCTAATGTGCGTATTAAAAAATTATAACAGGAGTACATAGACGTCAAAGTCTGGCGAATCCATTTCGGAGTTCACAACGTAAATTCGAAGGTTTAAATATATGTTTCCAATGCCTTTTAAAGTTACCATTATATTCTTGTAGACCTTACGTAAGTAAAGGTATATTCACCGATTTAAATAACCAAACCCATATTAGTTTCATAAATTTTATCACACGATTGTAAGTAGATGCTTTTATATGAGAATCCTGTGAACTAATTACATTTCATTAAACTTAAAAAAAAATCAATTTTTAATGTGCATAAATTATCAAACACTGTCTCCTCGCACATCGTAAGTCGCGACAGTAATGAAAAACAACCAAGGCAAAAGTTTATGTAGCGAGAAATGAAACTAGTAATTCAACAAAACGAGTTGTCCGATAAATGGTATTAAATCCTATTAAACTGTAATATGAATAACAGGCATAAACGATATTTCTCTAGTACCCTTAAAAATATATGTTGAAGTTATTCTTTCTTTATTTCTTTCATTCTTTCTTTTTCTATATCCTCTTTTACCCGTAGGTGTCGAGGTTTATTTATTATTTAATTCATCTGTTTGGACAATGGTAGGACTCCTTGGATGGGTGATCAGCCTGACGCAAGGCCTCTACCTATACAAACACAGAAAGACGCGGACAAACATCCATGCCTTGAGTGGGACTCGAACCCACGGTCGCAGCGACCAAGCGGCACAAGGCCCACGCCTCAGACCGCGTGGCCACTGCGGCCGGCATGTTGAGGTTATCTGAATTCTTTAAAAACAAACGAACATGATTTCGCGATAAAACACGCACATTCTTTATCTGTCAAGAGACGTCAATTTTCTGAACGGAACATAGAAAGTAAACGCTCAATGCTTTCGAATATTTTTCTTGTTCCGTACGCCCTTTTCTGCTGATCGTCGTTTAAGCGCTTCGTATAGAAATACATCGTCTGTTGTGCATCAACCGACCAAGAGCCAGGTGTTGGTTCAAGGTTATACAGCTTTCGTAAAAAGAAAAACAATTTAGTGGAATACAGACACGTTCAGAAATGAAGGTATTGAACAAGGAACAGGGTAAATAAAGAGTAAAGATGACATGCACAAACCAACAACGCCATCAGTTAGAACAACTGCTGTAGTTCTGTAGTCGGGCCGGATCTGTGCGTTCCATGTCCGTTAGAAGTAAAAGGCATGGCGATCAGAGGCGCGGGAGGGTACCATACAAGGAATAATATAAAGTCCAAACAAAATACATTATTTCCCACCGACAGTACTTTGTAACTCGCTGTCTTATTTCCTACGTCTGTAATGTTTTTGGTTTGTATAGTATATGCGCTTGATTTCCTCGTACACGCAAGCTAGAAGCGTAGGCAAAACGCACAGATTCAAGCCAAATACAATACGAAATGAAGAGATATTTTTAAATGAAAGTATACAACGGTTGTTGTGCTGGACTACGTAACATAAATAATTCACAGGCATTGAACATCCACCTTGCATGTCAGTCTTATCTTAGTTGATGCAAATCGGAATAATTCTATGCATAAGAAATTCAGTAAACACAATATCAGCTGCTGTATTGCATGTGAATTTCTGAGCTGGAATATTTTGAAGCACACAGATGAAATTTATGTTGAGAAATGGATTGTGATCGGCTGACGACTAAACGTGTAGCTGACGTCACAATTCCAGGAAAATGACAGCGATTATACTAGTAACTAAAACGCATTTGACTATGGACTGAACTACATGACTTGCTGTCCAAAACTAAAACCTGAGATAAATGGAGTGGCCGAGACACGCACGAGCCGCTCGTAACGTTCGCTCACCAAACAGTTTGCCTGTGGTTATAACGAAACTAAATTATATACGAGAAAATTGAACTCTAAGGTACAAGAAAAATGTTATCTATATCATTAAAACCCAACATTGTGAGACCTTAACAGACGTAAATTACAAGAAACATACTTGAACTGGGGTAGACGACGTGTTGCATGAAGGGCGTGGGAAACATTGAAGAAAGATAGAACCTTAGGCCCGTAGTATGCAAAGGTTTAAGTAGTTCAGCGACCACAACGAGCAAAGCACAGATTTTTGCATTCGCATAACCCTGAACAATCAGATCACAGAATGCCTCACGAAATGTTGAGGACTGCCGCTCCTGGGAGCGAGTGAAGCCGCTACTGCGCAGGTCAGCCTTCCCCCCAGACGATGGTCTTCTTGCTCTTGTCCACGCTGGCCAGAAAGGAGTTGTAGGGATCCCATGCTACGGCCGTCACTGGAGATCTACAGGGTAAGAACAAAACCACACGAAATGCACAGCGTCACTTTCCACTCACGAAAACAAAATGTTACTGGAAGAACGAACTATGACTTCCAGGTGGAATACACAGAGGACACTAAACTTTAGTTTGTGTAGCTAATTCTCATTCTTTAATTATAATTCTAGACAATGTGCCTCATTTAAGATACAACAGTAATTCAGTAGTAGTTTCACTGTGTTATGTTTCTGTACCAGCCTGATGATGTGTGTTTTGTAGTTGAAGTGACAGTGTTTTAGACGTTCATCATTGTAATAACAGCTATATTGGTGGCATTTCATGTCAATATTGTTGTATGTTTATTTTTATTTATTTAGTTTTCTGTCTGAGGACAGGTCCATATGACCAGGATCCTTCCATCCTTTTCTCGGTCTGGGACCTGTTCATATACGTTCTTGGGAGATGATCCAGAAGTGGTTTGCCATTGCCTTCTTCTGTGTGTGAATGGAGTAATTGTTGGGATGCCACGGAGAAACCGGGGAAGCCCCCGGAGGAAAACTCCGTGATGCCTATACCACGGCCTTGCCCAACACAAGTTATAAATTTGAGCACCACCGGGAATTGAACCCGGGACCCCAGGATTATAAGGCCAGCGTTCTAACATCTAGACCACCGTGGCGGTTCATGTAACCAACAGCATGATAAATCTTCGAGGAACAGGCTGAGTGGAGGAATGATGGGTCGAACTGGTTCAAGGTCGTGTGCCATGGTCGGCTGATTCGTTCTTTTGCGTCCTAATACCCCAAAGGCAGTTAATTGCATTAACATATTGAGATAACGCGTAATATGCGCGGGTGTGTAAATTTTCATAACTTAGTTGTGAGATTCGAAGTTTCAACGGAGGTGAAGATTTGGAGAGTGGCCTTCTATATTGTAACACTATTTCCCAGGACGTTACCCCTTCTACCCTGAAGACGAAAGCGATAAGTTCATAAGAAACGTCTGTAAACACCCACACGCGAACATGGCGTCAAAGCAAAGAAGACGACAATCTAACATTTTTAAATAAATTTATTTACTTATTTACAGATTACTTAACGACAATGCCAATAGTTCAGAATATAAAGTATCAGATTATAGGACAGTTAATGGAAGGTATAGGGAAGGAAGCGGTCGTGGCCCAAACAAAGGAACGACCTGCCATTTACCTGGAAGAACTGAAGAAAACCACAAAAAATTAATAAGGTAGGCGGTTGTCTGACCGACGTTTGAATCGATAACCTCCCGTCTATGAAGTAGGAGTCTAACCACACGACCACGAATAATTTACTAATTTAGTAATAAAATGTAATGACGATGATTAGGCGAGGAGTCTGAACGAGACGAGTGTGTCTTATCTAACGTACTAACGATTAGGACAGACCTAAAAGTGGCGCAGAATCGAACACGGCAACGTTCGAAAAAAATACAACGTTAATCTACTACCACAAGCTTACTCTTTGCGCCGCTACAGAAAACAATGAAACGCAATGAAGCGATTCCAAGAAACGTCCTTCACAGGAAAGTCATGGATACAAAAGCCACAGGAGGAAAGATCGCTGAAACAGTGGTGGTCATGTTACAATTATAATACAATTTCCCAAAACAACGTCAGCTGTCACGAGCAGCTCTAAAAGAGCTCTTGTTTTGCGATCCCAGACCGCTTGCACAGACGAAATTAAATCGTGGAATAAAACCAGCAAAGTGAAGGAAAATGAATGAAGGACAAAAGCCAGGGAGCGTGGACTTCCAACACACGTCATTCTACGCTCGAGTCACAAACCTGTGGAACCAAGAACTGCAGAAGTTAACTCTACAGACGGTGTTCAGAACATCATGTATCAGCAGCACGGCTGGAAGACAGTGCTGAAATCGGATAAAAAACTGAAGGGAAGAGAGGCACTGGTAGAAGGATAATATTAAAAGTGAAGTTAAAGAACTAACGTATTGATATGTGGACGAGTTTGAACTGGGTCAGAAGTGGCGGGCTCCAGTGAAAATTGCAGGCCATTACAACAAGAGTAAAGGCGAGGATTTGACTTGTTAAGGACTTTGTTTCATTCAACTTTGCGCTCAACTTCGTAATTAAGTCCCCGATGTTATGGAACCCAAAGGTTCATTGCCATACTCATACGAGCACATCAACTGGGCCCTAACGTGGCCTTCAGTGATAAAAGTAACGTCCAGCTTTTACGCTGGCGGATTGCTAACCTCCCACCAAAATCCAGCGCCTCTCGTGTTTTAAAATGTAAACACCATTCATTCTACTGTGAGTACTGCAGCGAAGGCGCTGACATCTGGCGGGATTCCAGCTGGGAAACAATTGTTATATTAAAATGTGGTTACTTTAAAAAAAAAGTCAAAGTCTAAAACATCAGAACTGTGCAATGCCACATTTTACAAGCACACAAAACAAACTTTTGTTGTAAGTTTACAGACCTTTGTAATTACATCTAGTTTTCTTTGGTAGATGAACTTTAATACATTACGTCCGAAAAGTCACTGTGCAGTTGCGATAATGTAATGAACGACCTGGCAACACTGGCACATCGCAAGCAAGGAAACTTACTTTTCGAATGGCACGTAGATCATTTCCTGACGTCTTATATTGTGAAATAACTCCATAACAAACTCCACGGAACGGAGTCATTCTTAAGAAGCTAACAGTCGCGCAACTTGTCGCGAAACCAAAAGGCTCATTACCGTATTCACAAGGGCCTGATATTGGCCCCTAAAGGCTCTGCTCCATGGAGTCAGCTGAAGGAAAATTAACGAACAAAATGGCGTTCACTCCCTATTAGAAATTCTCGCACTGTAGTAACGGGAAACAATTACAAGGGTTTTAAAATATTTGCCAAATTTAATTTGGTACTATCCTGGCATTTACTAGCAGGGATCTGAGAAAATCACGAAAATCTTCGGTCAAAATAGTAGATCTGTGGTTCGAGATTTGAACCCGTAACATCCAGTGCGCTAACCACTGTACGTTTGCGTCTAATTGTTCCATCTGTGACAGAATCGTAAGTAACTTTCGCAATCAAGTCGATTGTAAATGCAAAACGATACAAGTACTATTTTTTCCTTACGCAGAGGTTCATAAAGTGATTTTAGGATGACGATCAGCTGCATCAATTCCGAGGTAAAAATTCCAACAACGTTTCGGAGCCAGAAATTATCACTAATATTTTTATAATGTTCCCTGAATTTACGTACTTGGCTGACAGCCACAGAATTCGCCCACTTTTACCCAACGTAAAAGCTCCAAGTATATAAAAAATATCTTTTAAAATACATGTACTCATGTAAGATTACAATTTTTCATAATAAATCAAACTGCGAAAATTTCCAAAATACGTAACAAATTATTTACTAGAAAGATAACGACTTACAGACCTATTTTTGGCACTTAAATTTTCAACTGTATTCAATGAAAGTGTGCTATTCAGAAGTAAACAGTATAATTCGGGTACTCTAACATCACGTAACAATCGATCCCATTAGCAAAGACACACATTTTACTCGTCACAATACAACGTTCTCAGTGGAGGATAATTAAATAGCATTTGTTACGCAAATACGAAAAGCCAACAGGAATATCAGCATCACATGGGTACTTACAAGTGTTCCTTTAGCACAGACTCCAATTTGTTTGCGCTCACATTCCAGATGAACACCGAGCCATCCGCTGAGCCTACAGCGATATACTGGCCGTCGGGGCTGAAGGCAGCTCGGGACCAGTCACAGCCTACTTTGAATCCTTCCGCGCTTCAACAAAAAGCCACACAAGACGTTAATCTGACATTATTTACACGCCTATTTATTGAAACAATGTCCATTTTAAAAAAAACAAACACTGTGGGATGTAGTACGAGTGTAGTTTGGTAGATGCTCTTACTGCCACCATCATCAGGGTACGGTAGTGGTATGCAAAGGTGATTGAAGACCTGAAAATGGGCTCCTAAAACCGAAACATGTCGCTCCAGTAAGGGAGGCATTAAGCACAAACGAAACGTCGATCAAATAATACCAGACTACGCGACGCAACATACTAGATACAGTTATCTTCATACACGTCACCTGAAATCTTACGCAGTGTCGATTTTTAGCCTCGTGACAGAGCCCCAAGCTGGAGGGCCAATTATTGTCGGGTGCCTCTGACAGCCAACGGGCAGTTACCTCCCACGTCTGAAGTCGCCATACCACGGTGACAAGTTAAACCATAGTGACGATGTGAATACAGTATGCGGTCCAACACGCATGTCTATCGTGAACTTACCTAAAGGAGCAGATGATTTGGTTCATCCGAAGGTCAAGGACCTTAATGGTGTCGTCTCTAACACAGCCTAGCAGGAAGATGGCATCTGCGAACAATGCAACAAGTTTGGTGTTAGTGGTTCTTGATACTGCCACAAACAACACGGATATCGCGTTTGATTAGATGCAACTTTACCATATCACCACCACCATCACTAATTATAAATAGGATTAAAAATTACGGTCGCCAGGTCGGCAGTGGCGACTAAACTTTATGAATGCCCCTAATCTCGTATAAATTTTATTTGGGGTTCGGGAGAGATCAAAATACGTCTGGCTATCAGATTTTCAAGAAATGTTTCGAGCCTTCCTCCTGATAAATATAATTACGCAGTTTAGAATTCTCACAGTATTTGCGTATCTTTACGTTATCCTTCCATATCAAAACGCTTAAATTCGTTACTCTCCAACAGCATCCACGACACAGCACACAGATTCACATACTGACGTCATGGGAAACTAAAACCAGTCAAAATCCTCACAATTCCATCTGAAAGAACCACAAAGGCATCACACACGTAAAGCGGATATCAGCCATCTTGGAATGGAACTCTACAAAGCCTGTGCATAACGACATCCTCTGACAACCGAGCAATATGGAGCATCCAATTTACGAGAAGGCTAATGAGGGAGAGACCATATCGACGGCTTGAGGGGCCGGATATCGACAGTCCAGTGATGCGGCGACTCACCCCGCGAGAGGTCAAGCGACGTGACCTTCCCCTGAAGCAGGATGTCACGGGAGGTAGTGTCTGACCGGGTGTCCCAAAAGCGAATCCTCTTGTCGAAGTGACCGCTAATGATGGTCGTCCCAGCGCTGTCAGTTGTAACCAGATCGTTGCAACTAGATCCAGCAAACTTTGTCTCGATACCTGGAAATAGACAGAACAATCGATATTGACTATTATCTGTGTATAGAGTAACATAACTTTGCAGTAATTTCTGTGGTCTACTTTACAAATACTGAAGTTGTGTAAAGATATGTCATGTACATGTGTAATTTAAAATGCAATGAAAGTAACCGTCTAGATTCATGCGGAAAAATCCCTCTTGAGAATCTGAAACTCGCTCAGATAGTAAAGAAATTTCCCGACTTTACAGAACCCATAACATCGCCACCGTATTAACGAAGACAATGCTTGAGGAAGATGAATCCAATTCACACTCTCATAACCTATTTCTTCACTATTCACTTTAATACTATCATCCCATGTATGCCTAGGTCTCCTAACTGGTTTCTACCAATCACAACTTTCGACCAAAATGCAGTGTGTGGTACCCATCTCTCGTAAACGTTCTACATGAAACATCTATTTAATCATCGTATTAGTGTCTGGTTAAGAGTAAAAAATTATGAAGCTCCTTAGTATGCATGTTTCTCTAACTTCCTGTTAGTTCTTCTCTCCTGGCTCCAAATATTCTGCCGAGTACCCTACACTCAAGCACAATCTTCATTCTTCTCTTAGTGTGAACACACCAAGATTAACACCAACACGAAGCAACACGACAAAAGATTCTTAACTACAGATGTCCCAAAAAGATGTACATGTCTTTATTTTATTCACTGCATGGGAGAAGATATCTTTTTGTGACCCCTGCATATGGTAGCTGGCATTATTCAAATTTAATTTATTCCAAATTCGTTCTTCAATTTAATGTTAATTTGTTAATATCCTTCCCAAATATTTTGACTATGCCTATTTTCCAGGGTTCAGACTAGCTCTACCGAGGGGCCCAGTAGGACAGGATTTCTTCTTTCAGAAGAGGTGTGGTTTTAAAACCTAGAATACGATGGATAATAGCCAAATAAAAGACAGTCAAGCACAATGTGTGGTGCAATGTCACAAACGTTTAAATTCAGTGACAGGGTTTGAGGACAAAATGCTAAGGAGAATATTTGGACTTAAAAAAGAGAAAATAAAAGGAAGATGGAGATTTACAAATTCTGAACAAACTTATTTGTATTTCTCAAATAATAATATTAGGGCAACTCAGGAAAAATGAGGTAGGCGGGACATGTAACACGAATTCGGGAGATGAAAAATAAATATAAACTTATGGTCGGAAATCTTCACAAGAAGGAATTGCTTAGAAAATAGAGGAAATATATTCACACACAACTTAGAAAAAACATGATGTGGACTGAACCCTGCCAAATCCTGGCCAATTGCTCGCTTTTATGAAACAGTAAGAGCCATGTTCCATGCAAACAGATGAATTTCTTACAAACGTTTCAAGAAAGGCCCTGTTCCATGGAGTTTAAACTACCTAGTTAGTTACTTGGTAGACCTTATACAAACAACGCAGACCGGAAAGATCAGACACATGAACTGAGAAAGAAATTACGAACACATCTTACGGAGAGCAGAAGCGACTTACGAATCTCCCGGTACGAGCATTGCGGAACAAAGGCAACTCTCTAGAGGGTCGTTATTATACGACATCGTACATCACACTGTTGTTGGCCACAAACTCAGACTGACACTTCAAAGCGCTATATACATCTTGGAGCCAGATTACTTAACGGGATTCGATCACACAGACCCAACAAACAAGTACTTAAATCCAGATGACTAACTACCTCTTTATCTGATGTGTTTGATAACATTCCATTTAATGGGACTACAAGGTGTTCATTTTAAACGTTACCTACGTCACACGCGGTTCATTTTAATAATCATTCCTCGAGATACAGGGCAAGAGCTGATTTCTCGGCATGATCTCACGGAATAAAACTTCAGATAATTTTTCATGCATCGGTTCCTTTATAAATATCTATCGTTCGTAGTTGATCAACGCTATAAGATCTTCAGCCGTTATTTAGCGTTGAATGGATCATAAGAATATGTAAATTAATCTTGAATTGACGGGAAAGACGTAGTGACCTGCTTCAAAGCAGTGTAGCCTGAGTATGTCAGTGTACTATTAGCATCCTATATTGGTATTCTAGGGAGTGGCCGGTTACATTAACTCGGGATCTTTGCAGTTTCTCCAGTCCCCCAAAAGAAATACTTGGATGATGCATATAAACAGACTATGACCGCCTCCTTCTATATCCTTAACTAACCATTTGTTGTTATATTCCCATTACATTCGAAGCTATTAACTTCTGAAGTCCAGAATAAGTGAAGGTAATATCCTATTAGGGGTCCGCAGTGGCCGCGCGGTCTGAGGCGTGGGCCTTGTGCCGCTTGGTCGCTGGGAATGTGGGTTCGAATCCCACTCAAGCCATGGATGTTTGTCCGCGTTTTTCTGTGTTGTGCTGTCCTATGTACAGGTAGAAGCCTTACGACGGGCCGATCCCTCGTCCAAGGAGTCCTACCGAATGTCTATAGATCAAAGCCAACGAAAAGTTGGGACCCGCAGTGCTCAGGCACTTGAAGAACGGGTCGTTCCCAGTATCCCAGTAACATCCTATTATTCATTTGACAGGTCTGAGGAAAGATGCAAAAATAATATATACGGCTCCCAAGAGATTCGAACACGTTACTGCATTTGTGCAACTTTTTCAAGTGTAAGTGTTTTTCCAATGGGCGTAGTTATCGGAAAACCAACGTTGACAATCACTCCTCAAAAATTTTGGGGGCATATTTTTGTAAATGTTACTTCTGTACAGTGAAGTAATTTGTACGACCTAGCAGTACAAGTATCCTACATGCATTCTGAAGTATCAAAACCGTATCGAAAAAATAATCGTGCTGTGGTCATTCGAAAACAGCTTGTTCTTGCCTTCTGGCATCAGAGACCGTCTTTTCTGCCTGCCTTCCATCATCTAGTATTCAGACCGACGATTTCTACTCGATGTTTCTTTAAAACAAGCATACATTGCTGTACACGGACTACAATCCACGACCTAGAGACTTACAGGTTCATATATTTTCATAACTCGAAAATAGAATATAACAGTTATTTCATACGTAAAGCAATGCATCTATGTTATATTAAGCATCAGTTTATATCTAAGGATATAGGAGCAACACAGCTGTTACGTCAAAGAACCATATTTTTTCATCGTTCTCTGCAGAACGTATAAAAAATTGACCTATACCACAAAGGTTGTGTTCCCCCAAAGTTTCATCGCCGAAAGTACTAAATTGACAGATGAAATTTAGTATTTGTGACGCACACTAAAACTTGTTGAGCGGAATTTATTTCCGTTCGTGTTGGTTAAATATAAATTTTACGTATCTTAAAATTTAAATAAATTTTTCGAAAAACAGCTAAGCGTACAAATAATTGTAAACAAAATAAAATAATTTACAGATATCGTTTAGATCTATAGGTAAATTCGATTTGAAAATTTCTCGATATTATAAATATCTAAAGACACAGAGTACAAATAATTGTCGACTCTGGAGTTGTGAACTCGAAAAGAATAAGCCAATAATCGTATCTGCAACATACCAGAAACTGTCACTTCCGTTAAGAAAATCAACTTTATGTTTCTCAACGAATTACATACATAAGTTGAAGTTGTACTGTATTTTAATAATTTAGTAGGTTCTCTTCAAAATATAGTTAAAGAATGCTAATATGATTTAAAACACGTAGGTCTATCAAGAATGATATACGAGGTGCTACCCAAAAGTTCAGGGAATTTGCCCATAAAAAAGTGCTTATCATAACTCCTAGTTTCCACCGTCTCCTTCGAAGTATTCCCCTTGGGCATGGATACAGCGATTCCAGCGTTTTCCCATGATTCCATGCATCCCTGGAAGTCTTTAATTGTGAGTGTTTTAAGCACCTCCTGCGATTCTGCCTGGACCTCCTCCATTGTGTCAAACGAAATTTCATTTTGGGGAACAGGAAAAAGTCGCGGGGGGCGAGGTCAGGCGAACAGGGTGGGTGGGGAATCACTGTCGTGTTTTTGGAAGCCAAAAACTGTGTGGGCGGGCGCGTTATCGTGGTGGAGAACCCAGCTGTTGTTCTCCCACTTTTCCGGACGTTTGCTCCTAATGCTCTCCCGTAGCCACTTCAAAACTTGGATGTTGGATGGATTGTTCGTCTACGATCTGCAAAAATAGCCTCTCGCACTTTCGCGATGTTTTCCGGTGTTGTGCATATCGATGGTCGTCCTGAACGCTCATCGTCGTCGACAGACGTTCGTCCATCCTTAAAGCGTTTGTACCACAAAAACGTTTTACTTTGACTCATAGCATTCTCACCAAATGCTTCCACGGGCATGCGGTGGGTTTCTACAGCAGTTTTTTTAAGTTTAAAGCAAAATTTGATGCAGATTCTTTGCTCTTTAAAATCTGCCATTTATGCAGGTTTAAAAAATCGCCGAACCACTACAACACAACGTTACAAAAACGCACGAGACTGAAGAACGCGGCCTCTCGCCTTCACGGCTGTTGGCACACTAATTCACAAAGGGTACTGCTCGCCCCATTTAGTGGCGGCAGGCCATTCCACAACCGGTTCGCGCGTGGAATTCAAATTTGGGTAGCACCTCGTATTATTCATCTCAGTTTTAGGCTAAATACTGCATCATATGAACGGCGACAGAATACAGCGGCAAAGAACGAATAACAAAGAAGTTTGTTAAAAGTAAACTTCTCACTTTTCTATCGGAAATCAAGAGGTTCTGGAAATAACTTCAGTACTTTTCCTGTAAATACTTCCAATTATCTGCTAAGAGAGGCTATGAATAATTATAAATTACTAACTATAAAACTTGGCTGTGTGTTTCTACCCACAATTAAATTAGCAAAAATTCCCATTTGTAAACGTTATAAGACATATTTCAAAGTTGTAGACTACCATTTTAGTAATTTAAGAATGAAAAATGTTTTGTGATAGAAGTTTCTGTTGCAATGCACATACAGTAAGGTCCCGATTATCCGACCTAAGTGGGACCGAAAAACGTTCG